ACCCACTTTCTGAGACAACACTCCTCCAATTCCGACATTACTAGCATCACAATCCAGTATGCACGGCAGTGAGGGATCTGAAAGCTTTAAAAATGGAGCTGAGGCCAATATTTCTTTTAATGTCTTGAAAGCATGCTGGCAAGAAACTGTCCATTCAAACTTCTGGCCTTTTTTGGAGAAATCATGTAGTGGAGCAGCTATAGTTGCAAAGTCCTTCACAAACTTCCGGTAATAGGTACACAGACTCAAGAAACTTCTTAACTCTCCCACATTGTCTGGTGTTGGCCAATCACGCATGCTTTCACCTTGTCTGGATCAGTTCACAAACCATGCTCACTTACAATGTGACCCAAGTAAAGCACCTCTTTTTGGAACAAGTGGCATTTCTTGGGGTGGAGTTTAAGGTTTGCTGCTTTTACATGCTTGAACACTTCTTCTAGCCGGGAAATTTCCTCATCAAACGTTGTTGCAAACACGATGACATCATTCAGGTACACTAGGGCTATCCTCCATTATAGACCTTCCAGTACTCTTTCCATCAGCCTCTCAAATGTTGCTGGAGCATTGCTAAGCCCGAATGGCATCACACAGTATTGCCAGAGACCCTGGACATAATTAAATGCAGTCTTAGGTTTATCTGCTTCAGCCATTTTTACTTGATGGAAACCCTACATTAAGTCTAGAGTTGAAAATCACCTGGCTCCACTTAGGGCATCTAGAGTATCATCAAATCTTGGCAGTGGGTATGAGTTATTTTCTGTTATACTGTTAAGATCCCTGAAGTCTACACAGCAACATTGGGTCCCATTCTTCTTCTGGACTAACACGACGGGAGCTGATCAGGAACTATATGATTTCTCGACTATCCCTTCTCAATTAGGCCATCCATGACCTTCTCCATCTCTTGTCGCCTTGCTGGAGCTATTCTCCTGAGTGGGATCTTTATTGGACGGTGATTGCCTGTGTTTATTCTGTGCTCCATAAGGTCTATGCAGCCGAGGTCATAATCTCCTTTTGAAAAGACGTCTGCATAATTCGCCAAGAGATCTCTAGCCCAAAGAGCCAGTGATGATGACAACTGGACTATGCTATTCTTATAGAGATCAGTTAAATGTTCTAAAGGAGTGGATGTCCTTTCTTTATGGTCGTGTTTCTTGCCTTAACATTGACTGGCTCTACCTCCTGGCACATGCACAACAATGCCCCTTCCTTAAGTGTCTGCTCACATTTAGAAAAATTAGCCACTTTTATGGGTACTACTTGATGACCTGCCACAAGTGACCTTCCAATCTTCAAATCCACTGGCCTGGATGGGTCTTCCACTGCTTCAACAAGCATTGGGCTTCCTTGGGGATGTTCTTTTATCCTACCCCAAATTATCTTCTCTGACATGGGGGTAATGTAGTTGACTTAAGTGCCGTGACATGCAAATCAACAGAAGCAGCAACACTTACTAGAATTTGGCCTTTGTTGTTCCCAAACGTCATTTTATCAAAGTTAACTACACTCTTTTTCGGTAGTAAGTAGTCCAACCCTAATATGCCTTGGTCTTCAATGTCCGCCAAGTATACTTTGTGTCTGGCCTTTATGCCCATGAGCTCAATGATTTTGAGTTCCATACCTGAGTTCTAGAGTAGATACCAGTGCTCTATAGTTGTGCCTGTCGTCTGCTGACAACTGTCCAAGTATTTCCAGTGGTTGTCACTTCAAGCTCGTTGCCAGGTACACTGCTTTCTGCTCCTCTGTCCATCCATTCATTTCTGCCAGGAGCTCCAGTTGTGCTCTATATGCTTCCCACGGTGTCTTTCCATCGAATTCCTGTGACTTCCTTCGTACGAGATCACCCATATTGCTGACTCTCATATCTGGACTTCTGGTCTGCATTAGGGTTTAGCTGTGGAGTCTGGAAGAAGCTTCCTGTTGTCTAGGGTGGATTAGATCCATGGCTAATATATCCTCCTTGTGTAAAAGACAGTAAATCATCCTTTAATGCATTTAATTTGAAATTTACTAATATTTTCCATTTTACTTCTTGTTTTCTTTCTTGTTCTAGTCGCCACTTGTGCTGGTTTACTTGCCACTGCTGTAGTCTCTCTTCTTGTTCATTTTTTTTCTCCTTCAACCACTGCTGTAGTCTCACTTCTTGTTTATTCTCTCGTTCTTCTTGTTTCATTTCTTTTTCCTCCAACAACTGCTATAATCTCTCTTTTTTATTTTGCTGTTCGAGCTGCCACTGTTGCAGGTTTTCTTGCCACTGTTGTTGTCTCTCTTCTTGTTTCTTTTCTCGTTCTTCTTGTTTCTTTTGCTGTTCTTGTATTGCTGCCATCAAATCTGCTAACCTGTATTTTGATTTTCCACTTCTAGTTTCCATCTTCTTTTTTTTTCTTTTCCGTCCCACTTTCTGACACCAATTTGTTGTGTATCTGCTTGTTTGTTAATTTCCAGTATAAACGTAAGCGATACAAGTCCTTTCTTGATTAACCCAGTTTATTCTTTCTCGATACAAACTTTTAATACACAGTAATTTCACAGTGAGTACGTACCTCGTGACTCTAAACTTAACAACTTTTATAACACACGCTATAAATCACAGTAATTCACACACTTTACTTACGGTGCCTACTGTTCGCTTGACTCAATTATCTATCTGCCGCTGGGTTTTTTTTTTGCCAGGCTTATGTATACCAAAAATAGAGGGCATCTGGATCACACTCGAGCTGGCGGACAAATTCAAGATCCTTCGAGAAATTCCAGCGCGCATGCTTCCAGCGTCGCGTAACTTCCATAATAGTACTATTAATCCTCAGTCTCATTACATCTATTGGCCGAAGAGAGGGCGCAACCCCTAATGGCCCACCAGCCACTTGGATTGAATGAAAGGACAAAAAAAAACAAAAAACAATTCATGTTTCGAGCAGGTAATCTTTTATTATAAGTATTATAAAATCTTAGTTGCTTGTAATAATTACTAGTGTTGAAATATTGATAGAAAAATAGCATTTAGTTGATTAAATAAAGAAACATTAAATAAAATTAGGAAAATTATTTGTGTTAAATACAAAAATGTATTAGATAAATATAAAAGAATAACAATTAAGAAAATTTTGCTTGAAATTTCCGATAAATTTCCGTTTAAAAATCTTGGCACTATTTTAGTGCGTTTATTAACACCATTATCACACATAAATATAAAAGCTCTTATAAAAAGATCCCGGCATGGCCAGGTGGTTAGGACGCTCGACTCGCAATCTGCGGGTCGCGGGTTCGTATCCCCGTCACACCAAACATGCTCGCCCTTTCAGCCGTGGAGGCGCTATAACGTGGCGGTCAATCCCACTATTCATTGGTAAAAGAGTAGCCCAAGAGTTGGTTGTGGGTGGTGATGACTAGCTGCCTTCCCTCTAGTCTTAAACTGCTAAATTAGGGACTGCTAGCGCAGATAGTTCTTGAGTAGCTTTGCGCGAAATCCATAACAAACAAACTTATAAAGAGTAGGTAAACTTTAAAAATTAGTAGTTACAGTAGACTCTACGAGTAAACTTGATGGGTGGAGGTTGGAAGTTTTACTAGTTCAGATAACTTGGTTGGATTTTTATAGTATTATAAAAAAAATTTCTACTATACTACCAATACTAACTTATTAATTTCAGCTTTTACTACTATAATGCCAACATCTAGAGGTAAGGTTCCCTTACTTATCTTATTTCATTTTATATTTCTTTGGAGAGCAGCCGCCTTCCCACAACTGTCTGCAGGCAGTGAAAGGTGATATACGTATGGGACGTGGCGGGATTGAGCACCCACAACTGTCTGCAGGCAGTGAAAGATGATATACGTGTGGGACGTGGCGGGCTTGAGCACCCACATCTTGCTCTCTAGCTTATTCTTATTTTTCTGACGTATTTTATGTTTACTCTTTCTTCTTTTATAACATGCGAACGGAGGTTAAAACTGGAAGACAGTGTATCCGTACCGCTATGTGAGTCCTACTTCCGCAGTCACCTCATAATCCCAGGACACATATCCTACATTACTGCCTCTTCCTTGGTGATTTTTTTAATATACGCAGCGTTTTTCTTGTAGTACTTAAGGCTTGTTTAGATAATTAAAATATTTTCATCACAAGTTTTGTCTTGCTGTTTTAACACAGTTCTTCCCTGTGATGTTAAAATTTACTTAATTGTTGAACTAATGTTTTTACATTATATATATATACAATAAAAGAAATAGCTTCAAATTATTATCATATTAATTTTATTAGTTGTTAATAGGCGATAACAAAATACTAGCAGGAGAACGTAGCTACTCCGTCCCCATCCCTGAAATACGCAACACACGAGCGTGTGTGTCCCCTATTTACAGTACTTTTTAGCCAGAAATCTAAATTTGCAGCAGTTGCTACTTTTCATCCCCTATAAGGAGAAACGTGTCTTTCGGAATGAGTCAGTATTCACCCAACGATACTTGCGACTCGAGGAGAACGTGTTCAACTGTTCTGCTGGTCTATAAGATGTAAACATCCAATATATTACAATACACAGAGCAGCATTGTTGATCATTTTGTTCTCATTTCTCTACTCCTGTTTTTGTACTATGATTCCGACCGAACTTGTCGTGTTTGAGATTTAATAACTTTGCCAAGTTTCGTCGTATCTGAATATCTCTAACGTGTTACAGGTTTTTAAGATTTGGTTTAAAACAACCATCTTCAAAAAACAACTTTTTAATACACTGAAAAACCGATTATAATATCAACAACTTGACTTTTGGGTGTGATTAACGATCGACTTATTTTCTTCCTAATTTTGTGAATCGAAAACAAGGTAAGGTTGCACTTATTTTTTGCATATATGTAATTAAAAACCAATCAGAACGTTTGTCTTTAATCATATAGAGAAAGGTGAGGCTGTCCATTATCGTTTAGAGGTAATGAACGTAGTAATTAATACCAACGATAACGTTTGTCTTTAATCATATAGAGAAAAGGTGAGGCTGTCCATTATCGTTTAGAGGTAATGAACGTAGTAATTAATACCAACGATAACGTTTGTCTTTAATCATACAGAGAAAAGGTGAGGCTGTCTATTATCGTTTAGAGGTAATGAACATAGTAATTAATACCAACGATAACGTTTGTCTTTAATCATATAGAGAAAAGGTGAGGCCGTCTATTATCGTTTAGAGGTAATGAACGTAGTAATTAATACCAATGATAACGTTTGTCTTTAACTATATAGCGAAAACAAAGTGACACTGCACATTTTGGTGTATAGAGGTAATGAACGTAGTAATTAAAACCAGTGATAATGGTTTTCTTTAAGTTAGCTCTATCAGAATTGATTAAAACATTATATTAATTATTTGAATGATTAATCAATGTTATCTAAGTTGTGGTTGATTTTAATATCTTAGAAGCAGATAATTTATCAATATTCAAGTGTATTTATGGTCTTTAAGTAGCTGCTGAGAGGAAAATGTGAAGCTTTTCTCATAACGCTTTAAACTCTTAAATTATCTTTCCAATCTTGAATTTATTCATGAAGTAGTGCTCTATAATTGACATATTTATGAAGTAGTGCTCTATAATTGACATATTTATTTCACTCATTTCTTATTTTATTTAGATGTTAATCTGGCCATGTTTGAAATAATGTGTCATCCTGACGTTCACCAAGATTTTCTTGATATTTTTTTCTTGAAACCCAATAACGTTCTGTGGTGTTCTTGCTGCAAACTTCATATGTACTGCACTTTGTTTTGAGTTACCATAACGAACTAGGATGTGCAGTTACTTTTGGCATAGTATACACATTTAAAATACTGTAAATGTAGAATTTAAATCTTAGTTTATTTATGTACAATAGTTAATATCTGAAAAAATGTGTTAAGAGTTTGACTGATCAACAAAATTATATGCTTTCAGAGCGTTCCTTATGTCTGCTCTATACCCGGTGGGTTATCCGTTGGCTCTAAGATCTTCATACAGGGAATGGTACCCAGCAAGAACCCCGATAGGTAAGGCTATTTTACTATTTGACAATAAAGTACAATATTCAATATCGTTCATATCTTGACTTGAAATTCGAGCCAGCGATTTCGTGTATCCGGGATATGTTTTAGCCATCTGAGCTACTGGATTTGTTAAATTCCCTTCAAGTGTTAGTTTGCACTTTTGAATATTTGGTTTTCAGGATGAAGTGTTGACTCTCAGAAATCAGCTAAACTATGCTATTATTAAAACATAACTGTACAAAACTATGCTATTGTTAAAACACAACTGTACAAAACTATGCTATAATTAAAACACAACTGTACAAACTATGCTATTGTTAAAACACAACTGTACAAAACTATGCTATAATTAAAACACAACTGTACAAAAATATGCCATTATTAAAACACAACTGTACAAAACTATGCTATTATTAAAACACGACTGTACAAAACTATCGTATTATTAAAACACAACTGTACAAAACTATGCTATTATTAAAACACGACTGTACAAAACTATGCTATTGTTAAAACACAACTGTACAAAACTATGCTATTGTTAAAACACAACTGTACAAAAATATGCTATTATTAAAACACAACTGTACAAAACTATGCTATTATTAAAACACGACTGTACAAAACTATCGTATTATTAAAACACAACTGTACAAAACTGTTGTATTATTAAAGGACAACTGTACAAAACTATGCTATTATTAAAACACGACTGTACAAAACTATGCTATTATTAAAACACAACTGTACAAAACTATGCTATAATTAAAACACGACTGTACAAAACTATGCTATTATTAAAACAGAACTGTACAAAAATACACTATACTGCTTGATTAACTCTTCCACTGTCTCGTGTACAAATGAAAAACTCCGAGATACTTGTTTTAATATTTCATTTCTTATCTGAAATGGCATAACTTTAGAAGTCTGAAGGGTGGGACAAAATTCCAAACTCGCATATGGTAAAACGTGGCTAAAATAAAGGTTATATAGTATGTCCAGTATGTGTGACCATGGCAGTATACGTGACTAAAATAAAGATTATATAGTATGTCCAGTATGTGACCATGGCAGTATACGTGGCTAAAATAAAGGTTATATAGTATGTCCAGTATGTGTGACCATGGCAGTATACGTGACTAAAATAAAGGTATATAACCTTTATTTTAGTCACGTATACTGCCATGGTCACATACTGGACATACTATATAAGTATGTCCAGTATGTGTGACCATGGCAATGCAATAGTTAAGAACAATTCATAACAGATGAAACAAGTGGAAAACATTGTCTTTGGAGTTGCTTGGAAAGAACCTGTATACGAGTCAGATAGATAGCTGACTCACAATTTTGATTTTATAACTTCTTCTTCATCAGAATGGAAGTAACAAGTTTCAGTCCCTCCAAGTAGCATCTGGAAAACACAAGGCTCACGTTCATTATTTCTTTTTCCTATTATATTTAGGGGCGGCGGCGGTAAAGGGGGTTGCTGGGGGGGGGGGGGCGAAGCTACCCAAAATTTACCTTAGACTTCCTGTAGCCTCGCACTCAACGAACAATGCTTATTCATAAAGCTGGTCGGTTCACTTGCTAAATACTATAGTATAATGGGTCACAAGATGTAGCGTATTGGCCCTGAGCCTGAGTGTATCTGTGCACTACAACACAGTTCTTATAAACTGAGAGAATCTTTTGATTATATATTACTTTTTGGTTTCCATTTTTCCATAGAAATTCTAATCTACATAATATCGTCCAAAAACAAACAACTAAAATGTATGTATTCTATATCGTCATTTTTCAGTACAGTTTGATAAGAATTGATCATTCAAGCCTACGTTTTTATGAAAATCAACATAGTCCATCCATTTGGCAAGAATTATTGTTTACAAATACCATATTTATTACATCATTGCGTGTACTAGGAAGCAGCGCCCTTAATGGTGAAAAGTTTAAATATGAGATCAAACGAGTTCTGTTGTTGAAGGGTTTTGTCTATGTAATTAAGCCCTTAAACAGTTTGTCTTCACTTTCTCGATAAAATTATTAGTATGTGTCCATATATTGGAAATTACTACCATATTGTACTTAGAATAAACTAAAATACTTCAAACTACTATTTTTATTTTCAGATTAAGATTTTTTCTGCTTAATACTGAGTTTTGTTAGGACTAATTAACTTAAGAATGATATTATGTAAAGGGTGAAACTCTTGACTTAGGAATGATAATATGTGTTCTAAAGCTTTTGACTTAGAAAGGATATCATATAAACTATTTTAGGCACAAAGTTCACAACGGACTATTTGTGTTGTGCGTTGTGCCCATCACGAGTATCGAAACCTGTTTTTAGCAGTGGGGAAGGCTTGTGTAAAGAATATAGCTCTTGAATTAGGAATGATATTTGTAAAGAGTCTAAAGCTTTGAACAAAGCAGCACGTCTTTAGAAAATACTAAAATTGTTTTAGATATTTTAAATGATGTTAATGAATGTTATATAAACATAACGAAGTGTAAGCTATTCTAAACATCTCAATGTCACCCTATAGGAATCGCAGTGACAAAACATGTGAGAAACATGCGAGTTATTTGATGAATGGGAAGAAGAGTATGGCTATTGTTAGTAACAAATTACACCAACAATATCTGCTCATAATCCTATGTATTATACTGATTTTCAAGCGTACGCAACATTAAAGAACAGTTACGTATGAAATTCCTTTCAGAGAAAAACGGCTGCTGTAGACAGCATCTTGAATGTCATGGCCTACTGCCAGAGAACCAACACCCACTTACTCCTTGACCTTGTCCACGGGGATTCAGCATTGCAGTAACATAAGATGGCGCATGCTTGGCACACATCCAAGGAAGGATTAACAGCGATCAGTCATGATGGTCTTCTACTCTTGTTTTACTAGCATATTGTGTAATGCGGTAAACTGTACAGTTTTACAACATTAACAAACTAATATACAATCTCACTCAATTGTATTTTGTTCATATCATCATAAGCTTTCGGTGTTAGCTACTTTAAATAGTAGTAATAGTTTTATTTTGTTAAAGTATACCGTTTTCAGGTGCGCTGATTTCTCATAGAAAAGAGAGATAACAGGAGGTACGGTAGAAAATATAATGCAGGAGTCTTAATATGAATTTTTAATTTAATTGAAGAGAAAAGCTGAACACAAATGTATAGCAAAGTACAAATACAAGTACATATACAAACACACGCGCGTACATACACACATCTATCTTACATCGGGATCAGCTCGCCCAAGTGCACTTAATCATTCTGCAAGCAAAAACAAGGGTCACAGCCTCCAGGTATCCCTGAACCTGTTGTACGTGACTCACAGCACTAGACAATGCACTAATACAAACTAGCGAATTCTCCAACAACACTTCATGGGAAAGTAATCAGCAATATCATAAGGGCTTAAGTCACGATAAGGTGTGACTAGCCAAGAATAAGATTAAGAAAACTAATTAACTGACGTCGAATACAATGCGTGCACTGAAAATACGAAAATATTGTTACGACAGCGGAAGTCACCGTGTACCCTGGTAACACGTAATGAGTTCTAGAA